CTCAATCCGATCTAGATATAGATTTAACGTGTATTAATTCACACCCAATCCGATCTAGATATAGATTTAACGTGTATTAATTCACACAGAAATAGATTTAACGTGTATTAATTCACACAGAAATATATTTAACGTGTATTAATTCACACAGAAATAGATTTAACGTGTATTAATTCACACCCAATCCGATCTAGAAAATAAATGATATATATATCGATTCATCTATTAGTTTTAAGTAAATGGGCTATATGCACTTTGCCCACCTTGGAAATCGAACCCCAGAATTTAATGTTGCAAGTCCGAAACTTACCGGGAGACTTTTGAGTAGAAGTTACTTTTTTTGTTAGCCTAACGAACAGAGAGAGAGAGTAAGGAACGTTGACAATCGCTACTTACCGCATAGTTTATACACTAAGGACAAGACATCATAAACAGTGGGTATTCGGTGGGTCTCGTGCTCTGTCGCGAGCAGTACAACACATAGGATAATGACTACCGTCTTCATCGTTCTCACGCTTTAGACAAACATAGACTGTTTCTAACTACTACACTTATGCTTACTTTTATTCGTCCCTTTTTACTTACGTCATTGGTTACGTCACAACATCATCCGAACTTCTGCGTATGCTCGAGAGTTGTTACAGATATTGTGAAATTAACCTTACAGTGTTCTTGAAAAACACAAACTACGATCAATTTTCCTTTCGGGTTATGGTGTAATCGTAAGAAATAATAGTTATATTTTTATTATATCATTAGATCCAAGTATTTTCCTCCTTGTCATGATGTTACCTCCGATGGGTCGGGAGTAACATTGAGGACGTATAACGTTAATATTCGGGATTTGAGCCTTGGACAGTTTGCACTTAACCACAATTACCCCCCCCCCACCCACCCAACATATTTCTAGGCCTCTTGTTACTTCCCACCTTCCGTAAGTATGTGTTTAAATTTAAAGGCCTCTTGTTACTTCCCACCTTCCGTAGGTATGTGTTTAAATTTAAAGGCCTCTTGTTACTTCCCACCTTCCGTAGGTATGTGTTTAAATTTAAAGGCCTCTTGTTACTTCCCACCTTCCGTATGTATGTGTTTAAATTTAAGGCCGCTTGTCACTTCCCACCTTCCGTAGATATGTGTTTAAATTTAAAGGCCGCTTGTTACTTCCCACCTTCCGTAGGTATGTGTTTAAATTTAAAGGCCTCTTGTTACTTCCCACCTTCCGTAGGTATGTGTTTAAATTTAAAGGCCTCTTGTTACTTCCCACCTTCCGTAGATATGTGTTTTAATTTAAAGGCCGCTTGTTACTTCCCACCTTCCGTAGATATGTGTTTAAATTTAAACTATTTTCGCCGTAAAGTTACTTTAACTGGGTTTGAACTTGTAAATTATCCAATAAACCCACTCAGTTAAACGATTCCACAAAAAACTGATTCTGGCCCAAAGTAAAATGCTAGTTCGATGCGCCATCTGTTGAGAAATCACCTAGTTATATACACATATATTCTTGAACATCAGTTGATTTCACTTTATTTGTAATACTAACGACAAATATTATGTCTTCTGTATCAAAATTATAATTGTATAATTTTAAGTTTCCAGAAGGGTAAGTGGAAAAGTTTTGGACTTTCAATGTTAAAATCTGAAATTTGATTTCCTGCAATGGACAGACTGCAGATGGCGGGAACAGATCGATATTCTGAAAAATTCCCGCCACTAGTAATAGAGTTTGTATTATTGTTCTTATTTTTATTCAGTTTTTATTCTAAATAATAATAATATTATTAAGATAATTTTAGCATATTTTTTCAAAAGATTAGAAAGCTTTCTTTACGGGTAACATTAATATATATAAAAGTGTTATCGGTTTATGTCCCTAATGTAACATTATACACTGTTCATGCAATATAACAACCTGAATGAACGTTAGGCCTACATGGAATATTGGACCGTTTCTTACAGAATGTTGTTAGCGGATGACGTCATTTAAAACACTCTTTGCATTTACAAGATTTATCTCAAAGAAATTCGACTCCCTCCACCACCCCCACACACAAATATTTCAGTTTCATTGATTTAATCAACAAAAGAATAGCCGAGTGATAGGAGTAGTCTGATATGTTGACACAAAATTTACAGAACGTGAGACGTCAAATTTTGGAAATTGTTTCTCAAACTGTTTGATCAGCTGGTGCAGACTAACTATAACACTTCTATTTAAAGTTTATATTTATTGTAAAATTCATCACCAGTTTAAACGTTTACAGTTAGAAGAAGTCAGGATACCGTAGGTATATAGTTCTTTAATTGCAGCTGAAAAGTAGTTTTTGCTATTGATAGTTGGGGAAAACAACTTTTTATAGCCATACAAAGAAACGTGAAAATAAATGTAAAACAATAAAAGATCCTTGCTGAAAGTTTAGGCCTACATATTTTTATTTTACTGAAGCGGAACAAAATTATAAAAAAAATACTGTAGGTACTTTAATGTGACAACCATGTAGTAGATGTATTATTCATGTTATCCAGGACGTTATGAGTAATGTTACTTTAAATTTCCAACGAAGGATGATCGTGTATTGTACAGACTGATTTATGGCAAACAACAAGATGAAGTGTTAACTCTCACCTTTACCCTATTGGATTTTTGGTGACGTGTCGACGTCCATTTAAATTTATCTAATTTACATTATTGTCTTTGAAATTTCTTCAAGGCGCAAATATAATAAAATGAATTTTCAAACAAATGTAAAATTATTTTTATTATTGTTAGTGGCGTTTCCGCTTCGTCCACACCCAACTTCCGGTAGGGGGCCGTGATAAGACGCTTTTGTAACTCCCTCCCAGATAACCTAGACGTATTAATCCCATCCGAATTTCTTCATTGTGTCTGCGTGTAGTTAATCGTTCATAACTTTGTGTGTGTTGAAGTTTAAAGATAAGAAAATGTGTAATGAAATATACATGACAATAACAGATCTATTTATCTTGAATTAATGGATTAAAATAAAATATATTTAAAGCATGTTACCATCTTAACTTTCTTTCTCTTCGCGAAGGCTTAGCAATAAGTCTGAAATCATATAACGCTAAAAAATCTGGTTTCAATACTCGCGGTGGGCACAGTACATTTAGCCCATCGTGTTATGTTCTGTTTAAACAAATAAACCTAATTAACGATCTTTTTAGTACTATCTGGTTTATCTTGGTAAAGATTTGTATTAAAAACGAATACTAGATATGCAGATAATATTCTGATTTTACTTCAGCTATAAACAAAATTTCAAGTTTTGCTAACTTCTGTTGACTGGGTTATTCGGGCAATAATAATAAAAAGGTTTAGAGGGTGATATTTTTGCTTGCTCGTTCAGCGCGTCTGACTGCCATGTTGCACTGGCCAGAAAGAATATATCCAGTTTGAAAAATACAGGACCTAGAACTCAGTCATAATCAACCTCTACACAAGCGGTATAAATTAAATATATGCTAATTATAATTTTCCCGATTCGCAATTTTAATTTCCAGCAGAAAATGCGATATTTGCTTTAGTTCCTTGCTCTCAGTTTTCACGTAGAGCTGGAGTTTTGTACATTTACTGGTAGTAAATAGATATATACACGTCTTAGTTCTCAAAAATGTCAATAGATCGCACCTTTTGTGTAATACTATTTAAGTTATGTTTATCCTGAGGATGACGTTGTAACGTCGAAACATGTAGAGTCGTCAACTTTTTGAAGGCCATAGATAGGCCTAAATAAAATGTTTTTAATTGTGTACCAGTTTAACGTTGAATATTATTCATGATCTTAACTTTATACACAAGAGCCAAAATACTATAACTATATTTTTGTGTTTTATTTTAGTTGCTTGCTAGAGGGGGCTGCTAACACGACGATGACGTTAGATTTAGAAAATTTATAAACGTACCAGAATACCTAAAATGTTCGTGAATGTTAATGATCGAGAGAATTATGAAATATCCATTACCAAGGATACATCATAAATACGAGCATCACTGAAGCACTTAATCAGCTTTCAATTCGTTCAGTGATCGAGACGTTGTGAAGCATTCAAATCAGTGTTAGTTATCGCGTATTCTCGATCAATTAGTTTTGAAGTTATACAAGTAAGTTTATTCATAAGTCGTAGTACCATTAGCAAGTAAATTTCTGTTGAAAGGAAAACATTATTTGTGAAATTAGGCCTACAGCTGTGTACGAGTAAGAGTAGCCTGTAGCAGTCATTAACGAAGAAATAATAGCTTATTTTGTATCGTCATATGGACTGGACTTTGCATTATTTTCACCAAGTAATCTAAAACAAAAGAACATGTTACAACAGTACTTTATAATTTTCCTCGGTCCTGTTTTTTAATTTCACAAAGTCTCAATAGATGACACTAGCAGATATTTGGAACGTGTTTCTTCCCCTCTTTTTATATTTTCATTCTCTTAGATATATCCACTGTAGTCACTGTAACACATCTCTCATAAATAAACTTAATAAAAGTTCTTGTACACTATAATTTAGTTTATGTTATTTATAAAAGAAAAGAAGAAGAGAGATAAAAAGTTTAATAAATCATTTCTTGATTTCAGGAGGTTTGTAGCTTTCGGTTTGACTAACACAGCGTGGAGGTATGCGTGTGGCTTGGTGATTGGAATGAAGGACTGCAGCTCGGAAGGATTCGGGTTCGAGCCGTGACGCTACAAAACACGTTTCACACTTTCAGCTGTGGACTCGTTATAAGAATGACAGTAGCTCTTGAGTTAAGAGTAACCAATTACGTGTTGCTGTAACCTTCCACTTGGTTCGAAGTTCCAGACGATTACGTCTGAACAATATGGCGTGAATAACATAGTTAACGTATTACGAAATTGAATTATTTATTGGTATAAGAATCCTGTGAGTAGCGTAGTCAACATTACAAAGTTGACATAAGAATCATGTGAGTAAGGTAGTCAACATTACAAAGTTGGCATAAGAATCCTGTGAGTAACGTAGCCGACATTACAAACTTGGCATAAGAATCCTGTGAGTAACGTAGCCAACATTACAAAGTTTACATAAGAATCCTGTAAGTAACGTAGTCAACATTACAAAGTTGACATAAGAATCATGTGAGTAACGTAGCCAACATTACAAAGTTGACATAAGAATCCTGTAAGTAACGTAGTCAACATTACAAAGTTGGCAAAAGAATCCTGTAAGTAACGTAGCCAACATTACAAAGTTGACATAAGAATACTGTGACTAACGTAGTCAACATTACAAAGTTGGCATAAGAATCATGTGAGTAAGGTAGTCAACATTACAAAGTTGGCATAAGAATCATGTGAATAAGGTA